TGTCCTTTTTCGTATTTTTAAAGTAGATTTTTCGTGATTTTTTAAATGAATTTCGTGTGGGGTTTTTTAAAATGTATTTTTCAATCACCCCGACAACACCCAAAAATCAATATCACAAACGACCAGTACAAAACGAGGATCCCAAGACAGACGGAAATAACCGGTTATTGTAAAATAGGGGACCGGTAGTCTTTGAGATCATATTACTCTGTCTTGGCAAACGTCCCAGATTTCGGGAAGCCGTCCTATTGAAGAGTCTCCACTCGACAAAACGCTAGACCTCGGGTCCCGTTCAGTTTATGGTCTCATATGAATCTAGCTTTTTATTAAATAAAATGAGCATACGGCGACCTTTATCCTGACACTCAATTGTTCTCCTTTATTTGTGACACTATGACGAACTCGCGGAAACACACACACACACACACACACACACACACATTTCCAGGAAGCATACTGGACAAGCAGCTGATTAAGCGCTCAAACACTAACAAACTGACAAGATGTTTCACTATCTAAAGCTGGGTACCCATTCCCACCTGAGTGAAGTGGGGAAAATTCGTGTAAAGTGCCTTTCCCAAAGACACAACGTCGGGTTCCTGACGAGATTCGAACCCACGACCTTACGGTTGCGAGTCTGAGAGCCTAAACACAAGGCCACCGACCCCATTATTTTAGACACTAATTTAGACGAATCAAACATTTTGTATTAAGCTAATGTACTACCAGAAATACAACAGTTTATTAATTCTCCTAAAAACCTCGTATTTTGATATACGATGATAATGAATGACACTGTCTATGTGAAAAAAAGGTTAACGACCCTCGTGTAGCAAGAGTAGATTTTGATCCGCGTCTCTCTGTCAATTTCACGTGCATGTGAACTTAACCTTCATAATACGTTATGAACAAATGCATTGTCAGTGGAAACTCTCATGCTTGCTAAATTCAAAATTCAGGTCAAGGCTTTAACAAACCTGTGTCATGTCTTTCAACGGAAACGTTTTTGAAAGCAAATTTATGCAAAGTCACTCCAAGAAACTTCCAATCTACTGACAGACACAGTAACATGCTTGTTGTACGCTTTTGCCTGAGAGCATTGCTCTCAACCTGTGATAGTTTCTTTCGCATCAGACTGACCACTGCCTGTGTGTGTGTTTGTCTGTCTGTCTGTCTGGCTGTCTGTCTGGCTGGCTGTCTGGCTGGCTGTCTGGCTGACTGTCAGTCGATCTCTCTCTCTCTCTCTCTCTCTCTCTCTC